TTTTGTTATCTGCTATGCAAAATTTTAGGTGACTTAATCAAAAATTTTTTATGTTCAATAAGCAATCTCAAATCTAATATATACATATATTATTCTGGATCCTAATATTGCATACCATATAGATGCAAATTAAAACTATATACATAATCTATTACTTGTTAATATCAATTCTTTAATTTCTCAGATAGAGAATCATTATATAGCTCTTTTCTCTTAATCTTTTAATGATCAGTTTGCTAAACAATTTACTCTTTCTGAAGAGGATTTACTTAACAATCTAACAGTTTATTATTATAATGCAAATATTTATGAAAAATGAAAAGATTGACAACTTAGTGATATTATATTAATTGATTTTATTAAGCTTGATTTGCATTCAATAGAAGTATATATTAATACTATAAAAACATTTGCATTCTTTTCTGAATTTTGTAATTATCTTAAGTATAATATTATTCCATTAATTGCTAATTAGCCAAGTCAAATATATCCTAAGAAAGTAATTACTATATAACAAAGATAACAATAATCAAAAAAGAATAATCAGATAGAAATTTCAAAGTGTATTAGTTCTTTTATTCTAATTATAGGATCTTTGTATATATCTTTAAACAGTCAGAAAACTATTGTTTTATTATTTTTTAATTTTTTTAATTCTGCATACAAATATATTTTTAAAACAAAAAAAAGCTTGCTAATAAACCTTGTCTTTAAAAAATTAATATTTTATTGCAATTAATTTTAGATGTTTGGAAAAATGTTGCTTCATATATTAAAGAAAAATTGAGCCAATTTATTTTAGAGATGTAGATATTTTACATTAAAAACCTTCTTAGATAATACTATTCCTTTAGTTTTAAATATTTATGTAACAATTTTTAGATCTAATAATTAGGAAACATATATTGAAGCTTGTATAAAAGTATGATGTTTATTTATTCAATTTAAACGAAAAAATTATAATAAAGTATCATTATTTTTTTTTTTAAATATTTGGTATTGGAAAAGTATTAATCATCCTATTCTTGATATTTTAAAAAAATATCTTACAATATTTAATGATTATTCTATAGAAAATTATCATTTATTAATTTAAAGACAAACAAGAGAAACAGATACACATGAATAATTATCAAAAATAGCTCATGTTATCAATTATCTTCATCATGATAATGTATTTTAAAATGCATTTATTACAATAAAAAATTATCCTTTATTGTAAAAAAGATTTAATAGGTTTAACTAATAAAGCATTTATTTTTCTTTTAGAATTATTTACAAAGGTTAATAATAATATTAGAAAAAGCAAATGGATAAAAATTAATCAACATGGAAAAAAATAAGCTTTCATGTCATCTTGTAGCTCTTAATATGAATGTAGATAAATGATATTTACCAATGGCTTTTAGTTCAGAATATCTACTATTTAATTTATTAGAAAAGTGTCATCTTCAAGGTTCTTGTAAAATATTACAATCAGCATCTAATGACTTTATTTCTTACAACTTAATAAAGTTTATTTCTTTTTTATGTGATCATATTTATCGTCAATATTGTTTATAATATCTTGAGTATAAAAATTAATAATAATGTAAAATTTATTATTTCTAGAATTACTGAAGAAAATTTTAAAGTTGAACTTAATCAAGAAGATGAAATTCAATTAATAGAAAATGATGAACCTGAAGATTTATCAAAGCAAACATTATTTATTCTCAAGTTACAGAACAATTTAAAATAGCTCTTGAAATATTTATGAAAAATTAATAATTTTTATAAAAAAATGCGATATTAATATTATAATAAAATTGAACCAATCAAAATCAATTATTTTAATGATAATTAGGAAATGATCGACATAAAAATTGACCAATCATACAAATATCTGCCATGCTTTTTTCTATGTATTCACTTAAAAAACCAAACATGAAAAGAAACAATAAACGAACGAAATGAAGAGAGAAAACACTTTTTACGCAAATTCTAATTTTTTTTTTTGTCAAGTAATCAAGTATTTAACTTGCGTTTTCCCAACCCTTTTCAATTCCTTTTTTCGTTTCTCTCTCAACTCTTTCTTTAGGCGTCTAAACCTTCTTTTGTTTAGATTAGAGATTGTGATACTATAGAAATAGAGAAATGACGTTATTCTTTTTATGTAATGCATATCATAGTTTATATTATATTATAGATATAAAAGGATAACACGTCTTTGTGGCACAATTTTCGCCACAGCTCTAATTTTAATAGTGAAAACATTATTAAATGATTTTCAAACGTTTAAGGAATAGTTTAATTATGGCGTTTATTATGCTAGGATCAAGGAAATTTAATGCTTACCATGGTATTATGTCCAAAATCCTTTGTTCAACAAAAACTTACTTAATTGAAAGGATTGGAAATAAATCCACTATTCCAGACATCATGTTATTCAAACGATATGCGAGTGAAAAATATTACAATATAATTTATTCGCTGAAGAACAAAAGATTAACTTAGTTTACATTCTATTATAAGATAAAAAAAAAATAAAAAAGAATATATACACTGTATATTTATGTAATGATGATCCTGAATTGACCAAAATGGAGGGTCGTTATTGACGTGATTTAAGTTGAAAGTGTTGTCAGACGATTGTTAAATCTCCTGGTTCCGTTGCGCAAAGAGGTATCAACAATGCTTCTGACATATATTATATAGTAACGACCCATATATCATGGTCGAAATGGATGAAGTTCGCAAATATAGTTTTCAAATAAAAAAACACAAAAATCTTAAAAATCATCGAAAGGCTTTCGTGTAGAATTGTTGTAAATTTCAAATAAACCCTTGTTCATATTTATATAAAATGATGTAAAGTTACCCCTCGATGGTACCCTTGAAGAATATAAAACCGCGTCTCCTCAGCCCCAGAAAAAAACCATTCGATTTCCCCAAACTAAACCAAATCTTTTTAAGTTACATCATTAAAATAACTACTATTTGATTCAGCTTATCTCAAGAAATTCGACAAGCCAAAAGTCATTAATTTTTGATTACTGGTTATTAAAGATATTATATTTAAAGTTTTTATAATGTAATGTTAGTTGATTCGTCCATGAAACCCTTTGAATAACAATACTCTTGGTTCCCATTTCGTAATCGTCAATCCATCTAAAGAGTATGTAATCAAAACCGCAAAAATATTCGGCCTTTTAAAACGTCTAGCGAAAATAGTGAGTAGACTAAGCCTCCAAATCCCGTTGTATTCACGTGTTTTCTTCATAATTAATCATAGTCGTCGAATTTTTCTGCGCAAATACAACGACCCGCACGACGACATTCTGGACTCCACATAGCACCACATCTTTTCTTTTTGACAACAGTTTCAAATTCACTTTCTTCTGAAGCATCCAAATCGGATTCTTCGTCAGAAGAGTCAGAGTGTTCATCTGAGGAGGATGAAGAAACATCTGCTTCATACTCACCATTATCAACCTCGGGAAATTCGAGTATTTCGTCCGACTCAACTTCTAGCTCATTTGGCACGACAGACTGTTGTTGAAATTCGTTGAAGTTCACTTCCTGAACGTTATAATCAGTTATTATAGAAGTTTCAGTTGTGAAAGGTTCCGATAAAGTGAAGGGGATAACTCCCAAGAGAACTTCCCATTCATAATAAGCCTTCTGTCTCTTTATAGGAGTTACCAATTCCTGAAATAATTGGGGTTCAACTCGTTCTATGCTTCGTTTGACTTGCATTTTTTAAATAAGAGCTTTGAAAAGTTTTAATAGCGTAAAGGAATTATTTATGATTTGAAAATTTTTTTATTTTTTTTTTGTTTTTAAAAAAAAAAAAAAAAAAACGCTTTTGTGGATTTGTTGGGAAAAATTGGTTTATTTTTTTTATTAAAAAAAAAAAAGTTTAATATTAAATGATTGGCTGTCATGGTTACACGCTGATCTAACGAAATACAATTCATTTTTAGCGTGTGAATGTGTAAGATCATTTTTTCCAGAACCATTCGGTAATACCTACGTATATTTAAATGGGTAAATCAAAAGGTCAGGGTGGAGGAAGTGGTGGTAGCAAAGGTGGAAAAGGTAATAATAATATGAAGGTTACAGATAATGAGACATATATTTCATTCTAGTCATAAGTTGACACGCGTTTAATGCTAAACATCAACATTCAAATAGAGGAAGGTTCTGGGAAAGCTGGAAAACTGAAAGCTGCAAATAGCGTAAAGGTGAATTTTTATTTTGATTATTTTATTTTATTTTGGAATTTGCCGTGACGACTTTATCAAGTCCACGCATGATCTTAAAATGGAAATTATTTTTTTATGCAGGTTCGACATATACTGTGTGAGAAACATTCGAAGGTAGATACTAATAATACATTATTATAATTCATCCCCCGTGTTAACGTGTTGTTTCTTTAAGGTCATGGAAGCTTTAGTAAAATTGACAGAAGAGAACATGCGATTTGATAAGGTATACATTGTTAACATTTCATTCACATTTACATTCGTCGTCCAGATTTATTAAAGAATTTCTAGGTTGCGGAATTGTATAGTGAAGACAAGGCGAAACAAGGAGGTCATTGACATGATTATTTATGAGATTAGATTTATCATCAGAACAACCAAACAAACAAGATCGATTTCTTTTTTAATAGGTAGTTTAGGTTGGATGAATCGAGGATCGATGGTAGGAGAATTCCAAGATGCCGCATTCGCATTACAACCAAGTACTTTAGGTGAGACAACAGTTTACCATTTTCATAACTCAATATCAAAATCTCCCGCTGATACCATGATATTTCATTATAGATAATCCGATCTTTACCAATCCACCGGTATGTACATAATTTGATCCCTCCTTTAATTTAAACAAAGAACTTAGACTTTCTTTTTTAAATTATTAGATAAGAACAAAATTTGGTTATCATATAATTATGGTGGTAAGTTCTCTCATTTAAATAGCATTAAATTGAATTGTATGTGGCTAATCTTTCACTTTTTGTAAAAAAAAGGAGGGTCGAAAATAATGAAAGTTAACTTGCGAGAATTTAATTATTTGAATCGCATGACAACGTGTTAATTTAATCATTGTACTATATATGTAATGCAAATTTTTGTCTATTTAAAAATTTCTGAAAGAAAATCTTTTTAATATATTATTGTGCATATATAAAGTCATACTATATATTATAATTTTTAATTGAATCGTCGTGATCATCCGATAACCGATAAGGTCGCTAGACACGTGATCAACGATATTGACCATATTTTCAAGGGGACGCGAAAAATAAAAATTAAAAAATAATGGTCCACACAAGGGTCGTTCAACTAATTTATAAATAATGCGCATTCTCTGACTGACAGTTCATGCTAAGTCACGTGCAATCATGTTTCCCAAGCGTATAAAAAGTTCTACAGTCAATAAAGAACTTACATCTGTATTTGGAAAATCTAGTTACCAAGACGATAAATCATATGAATCATAAAGTGATTTGTAAAATTGAATAAAAAGGTAACGGATAAGGGAGAAAAAATTAGCACAATTTCATAGTGCTATTAATAGAACACAAGTACAAAGCAATTTATCGCGTGCACATTTCGTCAGATTTCTTTGTTTGAATAAAACCAACCATCAACGAAAATATGCGAGATATAAAAAAGGAATGATGATAATCCGCAAAAATGAATGGTAATGAAAGTGTGCTGCGTTTTTCTATGTTAACCATGATTCACGTGACATGTGGTCAAAAGTTTAACCAAAAGTGATGAATTGTTCTACCACATAAAAACATTTTTTTTTTGCCAACTATTGTCTAACCTTATACGGGTTCGCGTGAAAATTAGCCTTCGACCGGTTAACTTTTTTTCATTGATCCAACCTAGATTGGCATTTTTGGAGTTTTTTTTCCAAAAAAAATGGTTTTGTTTGATTTGTTTTTGAAACAATATACATAAAATTTTTTGTTTTCTTTTCAACAGGTATACACGCTTAATCCATCCAGGTTGGTCATAAAGTCATAAATCCTCCCTCCCCGTCAATCAAAAACACAAAACTCAAATCAAGAAGGGATCAACTAACCCGTGCATACCCTTTCAATCAAATAACCCCAACTTTTTTTTCGACCATTGTTTGATAACTAATGAATAAGGTTTATAAGGTTTAAAAGGGTTCAATGCTCCAAGCATGTAAATGCAAGTCAAAGTTTAATTTAAACAAAAAATTCGTAAAGATAATCTATTATGATTTCCTTCAAAAAGAAAATTTAAAATCTCAATCGTAACGGGCCACTTGAACCTTTTATTAACTATTAACAGAAAGGTTTCTCATTTTCAAACGGTAATTAGGTAGTTACAACATATGAATCATATCATGACGCAGATAAACTAAATTAAATTAAGAAATTTTTTAAAATATATTTTATGTACATATATGTACGTTATATTATTTATTTATTAAACTATCCGGATTTATTTAATAGATCGGTATATAAGAGCATCCTTCAAATTTACGTCAATATTTTCTAATAAATTTAATTATTTTTTTTTTTTTTAAAAAAAAAACGAAGGAAAAAAAAAAAATTTTTTTTTTTTATTAAAAACAAATAAAAGATATGAAGGATATAAAGGACATTAAAACGTTAAATGATATACTCGTGAATGATGGAAATTATGAATCAACATTATCATCACGGTCGTCTTCGTCATCTTCAAATACGTACATTCCGACATCAAATCATTCATCGACCTCAACTTCAAATCCAATTTCAATTCCACAAGAAGAAGAAACAATAAAAATTTCAACAGAATATGAACGGGACATCATTGAATTACATATACTTAAATTACATGATCCGTCAATTATTGACATGTTGGAAAAACAATTGTGTAAGGTTAATGGTATAGAAAATGTCGAGATTGATTTTGCGACAGGAAATGCTATCATAAATTATAATAAAAAATTCTTGGGTACGAGAGATATAGTGGAAAAGATTGAATACTTTGGATTTAAATGTAAATTAATTAATAATATTAAATCAAATCAATTGGATTATTTTACCAAGCAAGACGTGATATCGGAATGGAAAAGATCATTTTATTATTCCCTAACATTTACGATACCCATACTCGTTATTTCAATGATATTACCGAAATTTGAATGGGGGTTAAGTATCATTAACCTGGAATTATTTCATGGATTATTCGTTGGTGATTTGGTCTCGTTCTTATCATGTTTGATCGTACAATTTGGAATCGGAAAGAAATTTTACATTGCAACTTTTAAAGAGATTAGAGATGGAAACTTTACAAAGAATTTATTGATCGTAATCGCAACTTCCATCGCATTCTTCTTTTCTTGTTATTCAATGATTGATTCAATTTTTAATGATTTGTCATCCACACGCCCTTTGATAATGTTTGATACATCCGCCACCTTAATAACATGCGTTGCATTAGGTAATTATTTAGAAAATGTAGCAAAGAGAAATAGTTTAGAATATGTAACCGGTTTATTATCACGTATACCGAAATCAACAACGATCCTTCACTTCAATGGAGAGATAACAGGGGAAAAGATCATACCTACGGAATATTTACAAGTTGGTGATGTAGCAAAAATATCACCAGGGATGATAATTCCGGCCGATGGAAAGGTCATCTCTGGATTATCCGACGTAAACGAATCGATGATCCTGGGAAAGCCACCCGGACAAACGGTAAGAAAGGTTCGTCGTGGAGATGATGTAATTGGTGGATGTGTTAATGGATCGGGAAATTTTGAAATGCAAGTCGTTCGTGTAGGAAATGATAGTATATTATCACAAATCATTAAATTTGTCAAAGATTCACAAGTGACGAATCGATCACCAATCCCGACCTATGCATATAAATGTTTTATCCTTGGAATCATTACGTTGGGAATAATGTTATTTACTTTATGGGTGTTCACCAATTTAGAAATGTACCTTAATTTAAGCATTTCCATCTTAATCCTTCCTTGCTTATCCCTCATCTCGATTGATGTTAGAGTTGGCAGTGACATTGGAGCTCGAAATGGTATTTTAATTAAAGGGAAACGAGCATTCACTCAAGGTACTAAAATAACAAAAGTTATTTTCAATAAAACCGGAACATTGACTCAAGGAAAGTTTGATCTAGCACATTATGAACTCATGAATGAAGGTTTAAAGGAAATCACACCAGAGATCTTTTTTACATTGATCGGAGCCGTAGAATCATTAAGCGAACATCCGATAGGAAAATGTATCGCTGATTATAGTAAACAATTATTAAAAGGAGAATGCGATGATGATGTTGATGTTAGTAATTTCGAATATATAACCGAAAGAGGAACGGGAATTAAGTGTGATGTATTGCTTAATACTTTCTCGTATTTATCGTTTTATAACACATCGAGATCGTATAAGGTATTGATTGGAAATATTGAATTTATTTCAAAACTTCATCGAATTGAAATACCTAAATCCGCTTTATTAATTAAAGAAAACCAAGAATTATTAGGTAGAACGATAGTATTAGTAGCCATCAATAATACATTTATAGGATTGTTGTCTTTATCAGATTTGATTAATCCTGAAACGAAATTGACGGTTGGCGCATTAAAATTCATGGGAATAAAAGTTGCCATGATAACGGCCGATGAAAGATTGACCACACAAACGATCGCCTCTCAATGTGGCATAGATGAAATCTATTTTCAACTTTCATCAAAGGATAAAATAAATGTCACTCGATCGTTACAGTTAACTGATAATATAGCGATGGTAGGAGATAACGATATAAAAGCAGATATAAACATATCATTAATTAATGATGATATGAATAATGATGATGCTGATATGCTATTGTTGAGTGGAAGTTTAATCGATGTAGTTGCTTCTTTGGACTTGTCAAAAAAAGTATTTAGAAATATGAAATTAAATTTGGTCATTATCACTTGGTATATCGGAATCACTCTCGGTTTTTTCGCTATATTTGCGTATCCAATTTATCCTAATATTTATTTACATCCTATTTTGGCTAGTTTTCTCATGCTTCTTGCTCGTTTGAGTGTCGCGTTTTCTAGTTTATTCTTTTTAAAATATTGGAAAAAACCTCTCTGGATTGAAAACTTTAATGGAAGTGTAGTAAAAATGAAACATGACAAGAGACGCAATTGTCACGTAATTGATTGGTTTAGAAACAAAAAGATTAGAGAAACTAGAATAGAAAATGAAAATATCATTGATTTATAGGTTGTATATCAGTATATATAAAAAAACAAAAAAAAAAAAATTTAAATTATTTTTATTAAAATTTTTATCCATAAAAGATTCTTAGTTTATTATAATTTTCTTAAATGTAAAAATCATATTTGAAATTAAAAAACTTAATCTTTCAGTAAAATTATAGTGTGTGTGTGCGAAATTATAGAAAAAAGTTTGTAAAAGACGTAACAGATCTTAAATAAAGGTGCGAACGTTTGTATTATTTATTAAGTACAACATAAAGGGAAATATTAATAAAATAATAAAAAGGTGATTATGATGACGATGTGTAATGGAATTCTTGTTAAACGCATAAAGAGAATAGGTTTAAGCTTACAATAAAGCAAATACGTTAGAAATTATAATCAGAATTTTTTAATATTTTTTTTTTTTTTTTTTTTTTTTTTTATAAACAAAACTATTCATTAATTAAATTAATTACAAAATGATTTTTTTTTTAAAAAAAAATAATATTCACTAATTTTCTCCAAGCCATTGAGCCAGCATTTCTTTAAGTTGGCCGATTTTCAATGGTTTGGTTAAATAATCATTCATTCCAGATTCAAGACATTTATCTCTCGTGCCTTGAACTGCTGAAGCTGTTAAAGCAATGATAGGAATTTTTGACATTGGTGACGGTATGGCCCTTATGGCTTTTGATGCATCGAATCCCGACATGATAGGCTAATAAAAATAGTGATAAAGTTAGATTCTTTTTTCTTTTTTTTTAAGATCGATTAAGCAATTTTTTTTTTTAATATCTATTCATTGTTATTCAAAAGTATAGAGGATAATGACTATTTCCAATGCATGCTTATCCATTGGTTAAATAATAATACATCCATCCCTTATACAAACCTTGAAGGTTGAAAAAAAAAAAAAAAATTATATTGTGTTAATTTACCATAGCACAATCCATTAATATCAAAGAAATTCTTCCACTATCCACTGCTATATGTGACGATGATGACGCGGAATAATGTCCTTTTGTGATGATTTGTGAAGACTTTTCATCTGCATTATTACATTCTGCTTGGATTATATTAACTGCCTCTTGTCCATTCGTTGCCGCTATGGTCTGATATCCAAGTTTTGAAAGTTGATGTTGTATAACCTGTAAAAATAATATTTCTTATTAAAAATGTAATAAAAAATTTTTTTTTTCTTAAAAATGAATTATTTTAAATACCTTAAGATTTATAGGATTATCCTCCTAGATAATTAATTAAGTAAAGTTAAACGCGATGGAAAAATTTATTTAACAAAATTGACATACGTACCACACATAAAATGCACTTTGAATTTGAAATGGGGCGGGATCTATATTTTGAAGCAGGATACTCATCAGGAGATTGAATATGGTCTTCACCATGTGCCATTCTTTTCAGGGATGTCTTCTTTGAATTCGAATATGATGTCTTTTTAGGTCCATCTGAATTCAATTTCTCTTGCGTCTCATCAACAATCATTTGATTATCATCACCTGACGATTTCTCTAAACCTTTTGCAACTTCTGGTTCTTTTCCTAACGGTAATGGTCGTTTATGACGATAATATTTTTCAACCCTTATGTCGGCTAATGATTTTACAGAATTATAATCAATTATCGGTTCTGGTACGGATACGGATGAGATCGATGACTTGAATATTTCATCATTATGCAAACAATCCAATAATCTCTTTTGCATTATTGGCTTGCATAATGTCGCAATATTTCCTTCAATATCTTTCATAAGTTCCTGCCCTAAAGCGCGTCCTTTTACGGAAGAATTTACCATAAGTGCTATGCAAAGATCTTCTTTTCCATGAATTCTCAACTCATTAGCAGCTTTTATAACTTTTTCTTTATTATCTTCACGAACGTTGAAAAATACAATGTCATACAATGGTTCATTATGGGTTTTCCTCCATTCTTTCGATAATGTTATTCCCTTATCTGATGTATCAAATGCATCAATTCTCTCTACACTAGCCCCAATCAATTTAACCAAAGCTTCTCGAGCTGTCGCAATAGGATCAACGATTAAAATACGTTTTGATCTAATTATAGCGGGCAAAATTAATCCAGTTTTTTCATCGTTCTTTGAAATATCAGCGGAAGAAATTTGTGAAATGGACGTAATTGGTATGGCAGATAAAGGTAAAGGTTCAACGATCCTTTTTTTTAAAAAAAAATAAAAATAAATAAATAAAAAGGAAAAAAATCTGAATCGATAAAAAAGAATGTTTTGATGTGTTTTCATAATTAAATTATAAATATAATGAATACATACCAGGTGAACCAAAATCGGCTTCCTTTTCCAAATTCACTTTGCACTCCCATCTCACCACCATTAATGATTACTAGGTGTTTACAAATTGAAAGGCCTAACCCTGTCCCATCTTGGCGTCTTGTCATTGAAGCATCTCCTTGAGAGAAACTTTCCCAAATATCTTTAATAAATGTCGGATTAATACTAGAAAAATTGTTTTAATTAGTGTATTAGAAATAAATAAAAAATTTTTCGGAAAATAAAAAGTTTGACGATCTTTTATTTACCCAATGCCGGTGTCGATTATTTCAACAAATAATGTTCCTTTTTTCACGGTAGTAATTTCATTGCTCGCTCCAGCTTCGTCTTTTGTATTTATCATGCCAACCTTGAGACAAATTTCTCCCTCTTCAGTAAATTTAATGCTATACATCATAATAAAGATTTTTTTAAAAAAAAAAATAAGATAAAAAAAAAACTCGAATGGTTTTAAAATGAAAGATGATATTTCAAATCACTTACGAATTAGACAACAAATTCATCAAAACTTGTTGCAATCTAAAAAAAAAAAAATTTAGATATTCTAAATCACAAATTCTCCTACTTTTGAAAATAATATTTTTGTTTTTTCTTCGTAAATCATAATTTTAAATACCTTTCTGGATCCGATTTGACATATTTCGGCAAAGAAGTTGGTTCGCAACACAAAATCAATTCAACTTGTTTTACACCAGCTCTTTCACCAAAAATTTCTATGGTTTTTTCCATTAAATCAAATAAATCAAAAGTTCTATTTATTAAAGTAATCTTTTGTGCTTCTAATTTTGCTGCATCTAAGATATCATTTACAACTGATAAGACTACATCGGAAGCTCTAGTCATTATATGAACCATGTCTTTTTGCTCTTCTGAAAGTTGAGTCTCTTCGAACGCTGATAATACTCCTATAATTGCTCCAAGTGGCGTACGTAATTCTACAATTAATATTAAAAAAAAAGTTAAATTTAAAATAATATGTATTTGAAAAAGTGACGAATAATAATATAAAACACAAACCATGAGAAGTATTAGCTAAAATTTGACCTTTAGCTTCATTTGCAGCTTTAGCTGCTTCCATTTGTGCTTCCTTCTTCAAATTATCTTCCAAAAGTGTAGAATGTGTAATAGCCAAACTAATTTGATTCGAAATTTGTTGTAAAAATACCTTTTCATAATCGAACCAAGTATTGTTTTGAGGTCTATCTGCAATTATCCATCCCCATACGTTTGAATTGACTTTGACTTTAATTGGAAGTGCAATTAATGAAACTTGGCGATTAACTACGGGGGAATAATAATCTTGAAAAACTGAAGCTTCAAATTCTTTAGCAGTTTCATCAGGATCTTCTGTGGCTTGTCGAATAAATTGGATAGCTTTACGTGAATCAAAGTCATTTTTACCTGCTGAAAATGGTATAAAAGGTTTATCCTTCTCGTTCATTGAAAAACGGACCATTTGTCCTTTCAAATTTGGTTCATTTGGATCTTTTGTCGAAAATGTCATGACTTTTAAATTGACACTATCGTTTTGATCTGCAGCCAAAATATAAATCCTATCACATGGTAAGATTTTATGAACCTCCTCGGTAGCTGTTGAAAGAATGTCTTGAATATTTAATTCCGATCGAATTTTACTACTGATTGAGAACAACAACTGTCTTGTATCTGCTTGACGTTTTTGCTCCAAGTAAAATTGTTGACGAAGATGGTATAGTTTAATATTGACTCGTATTCGAGCAATCAATTCCTTAGCGTTGAATGGCTTGGTCAAATAATCATCAGCTCCATAATCCAACCCTATTCACAAAAAAAAAAATAATTTTAAATAAATAAAAAATAAATTCGAATGCAAGTATTCAAGAATTTTTTTTTTTTTTAAAAAAAAAAAGAGTTAAAAAATAAATACCTTCAATACTAGCTTCTTCTCCAGCTTTAGCGGATAGTAAAATTACTGGGATCATTTGAGTTGATCGATTATTTCTCAAAGTTTTTAACAAATCAATTCCATTCATATTAGGCATCATAATATCTAAGTAAAGGTAACAATAATAATTGTTTAATGGAATAACTATTTATCATAAAGAAAAGAAAATATAATTTTTACCGCTTAACACTAAATCTGGCGCAACATCAATCTTTCTCAACATTCTCAAAGCATCACGACCATCACAAGCACTGCATACTTCAAATTCATTCCTCAATACTCCAGATAAATATTTTCTAGATGATACGATAAAAATTTAAAATTGTGTAATCAATAATTTGCATGAAATGATTATATTTAATCCTGACCTCATATCAGTATTGTCATCTACAATAAGTATTTTAAATCTTTTGCCACCTGCGATAAAAGGATCATCCCATGAGGACGGGAATTCGCCTGTTCCCGTTCCAGGGATATTTATTTCGAAAGTCGAAGAATCGATGGGATCATCTAAATCCATGTCTCGATCGAATTTCTGGTCAAGATCTTCAGTTTGAATCTTTTGAATCCATTGTTCTGATTCTTCAATATAAAGATCACGACTAGAAAATAATTGTTTATCCAGAACTTTTTCATTTTCTTCTTCACCAAAATAAACTTTTTTAGGTGGTAAATGTTCCCATCCAGTAGGTATCCGAACTTTAAACGTACTACCTTGATCGACAACAGACTCCACAAATATTTCACCGCCATGACGTTGAATTAATTCTTGCACAAGCGCAAGACCAATTCCAGTTCCTTCATGGCTCCGTGATTGACTCGATTCAACGCGATAAAAACGTAGAAATAATTTAGGAATGTGATCCTCTGGTATACCAACGCCTAAAAAAAGAAAAGAATAATAATAAAATAAAGAAAAAAGACAACGGACTCGAATAGGTGTCTGCAATAAAATTTTATAAAAAAAAATATTTTGCGTCAATGAAAAAATGAATACCTGTATCTATAACCTCAAGCACAATAAATTCTTTATTATCTTGCTTTTCTGAATATAACTTGACCGTAACACCTCCACTCCAAGTATGTTTAAAAGCGTTTGAACCTGTAAAAAATAAATGTTACACATGTTAAAACATTTCCTCTAAATAAAAAAAAAAGAGGATCAAAGTAAAAAAAGTAAAACGATTATACTTGCATAAATTGAACAAAATTTTTTCATACATATCTCGATCAATAAAAACTTTCTTATTCAATTGTCGATTAAATTCAACTTGATCTGGTACTTCGATAGTATATGTCACATCTAATGATTTAGCCATACTCTCAAAACTTGAAGCAAGTTCTAAAGTAAGCTTTGCGATTTCGGTTTCACGAAATTCTGCTTCCAAGTTACTAGTCTCAGTTCGAGAAAACTAAGATTTCAATAAATTAATATTTAAACGTTTTTAATTCCGTTTAAATAAAAAAAATTAAAAGCGCAAACCTGTAATAATGTATTAACAAGTTTAAGTAGTCTACGAGCGTTACGTCTTATCATATGAAGATGGGTTAAACATCGTGCTGGATCCGAAATATTTGATATCGTATCTTCTAATGGTGAAAGCATCAAAGTCAAAGGAGCTAGGATAAATTTGTGAAATTTGAATTTCAATTAGATAGATAGGTGGATTATAATGACTAAGTAAAAAAGAACAAAACTTACTTCTCAACTCATGACTAATATTTTGGAAGAACATAATTTTTTGTCGATTAAGATCCGCGAGAATTTCAGCTTGTTTCCTTTCTTCTTCCCTTGATCTCCCATTTGATAAACCCGAACTTACATGACCGACTACAAGCTAATATAATATAATATATTATGAAATTAATTATACTGACTATACATACTATAAACGTAACAAAAAGAAAAATTTTCTAATTACACGTAAGAATTCCATATAATCGTTATCAAGTTTTCTTCTCACATTAAGTCCACATATTAGTATGGCATTTACATTCTTTTTTCCAGCAAATGACGTTTTTACCGGCAAGAGGATCGCTTTGGAATCATCTTTAAGTTGTACAATAACATGCGAATTCTTGCTAGCAACTTCTTGTAAAGGCCAAGTTTGAGTCATGTTACATTCACATTCCATTATTTCTTTATTACTTTTTGCATTGTCACCATATATCTCAACAAAATCAGGTGTTTCCAACAAGTAATCCGGGAGACTTCTACTTGATTGCCCATTAAAAATCAATTCTTCAATACCATCCTCTCCTCTTATTGTTGCTAAATTTTCATCAAATGTTGTTGCTATTAAATTAGCAGTTGTTTTTTTATTGTTAGTCTCCAAGTAATAAATAATAGCAAATGGCAGATCGGCAACATTCTCTTTTAACGCAGATAATACCAGATGACAGGCACCATCTACTGATCTTGCACCTAGAAAAATTATTTATTTGCTTTTTTTTAAAAAAAAAACAAGGAGGAAAAGGCAAGAAACAATCGTATATTGACATGATCACGGGATCGACAAATAGTGGGTATCGTTACCAGCAGTTTTATTCCCTAAATCTCCCAGAGTCTTTAATCTTCTAGCCGCTAGGACCCTTTTTGTCGTCTCCTGGACAGCATTAAAAATGCCTCCAACAGTTCCATCACTCTTAAACAATGGACTAAAAGTGAAAGAAAAATAACATTCTTCGACGTATCCTTCTCGATGCATTAATAACAAAGTATCATCTTGGAAGTTCCCTTTTCCAGTTTTAATCACACTAATTGAAATGAATTTGTGGTGGTGAAATCAGAAATGAATGATAAAGGGTTGATCGAATGGAGAAGATTGATAGACGCGAACTTTTATTAAAGACAGCTTACGTATCGAACATAGGTCCTATAACATCGTATATCTCAGACCACACTTCCTTTGCGGGACGGCCCAATGCTATCATCAAACGAATCGATTAATTAAGGATTTTAAAAAAAATAAACTCATGTGATCACATCCGTACCTGGATGTTTCATTTTCAAAATAGGCCGCCACACTATGTATGATTAATGAGGGAAATAAATATCACGCGAAAATACTTTCTTGCCAATTATAAATACTATCAAACATATGCATCATCACTCACTTTGATTATATATTAATCTTAATTCGGGACCATAGTAAACACAAATAGGAAAGTTTAAGTGCATACATACATCCTACATAAGGATAACAGATGACCTCTCAATTATCACCAAATATTCGATTTTGTAACATGGAAAAAAGTTAAAAAATAACAACATACAACTATTGTTTTCAAGGTGGGTTCCCATGTTGACATGGCCCCAAGTGGAGTTTCAGACCAGTCATAGGAGTAAATTAGGTTGTTGACTGGAAGTTCATTGGTATAAGGGTCATGTGGGTCGGTATTTTCTTTTCCGAGTAGTGACATGTATGCTATTTAACGAAATTATTACCAATAAATAAATATATACGTAATGTATATAAAAATAAATGAATGTTATCAAAAAAAAAATGGGAATTTTTGATCGGATAATAAAAATAAATGCTTTTAAAACATTCAAAAATTGACAAGTGCATCCATTTTTAATTCCTTATATAATTTTTTAATTGTCCCTCATATAAAAGTAGATGTTTTACTGTGTAATCCAAACAGTGTGAAATTTGGTACGATAGGCATGAAATCGGATATAAACAGCTTCCCAACGGTTTTTTGTGGTAAAAAAAAATAATATATGAATAAAAAAAAAAAAAACCCCCCACAAACAAGACAATACCTGACCAGATTTTCGTCATTTTAAAGTTGGATGTATAAATAAAGGTTGAAATTATTATTGGTAATAAGATGAATAAGATGTTAGTGTAAGTATAAGGATAATGGTTATTATAATGGTTATTTCCTTTTTATTGCGTCCCTGATTCAAAAGGCGCAAGGAAAAATGCTCGAAGAACAGGCCAGACCGTTCCAGATTCGTATGTAAATTTTTTTTTGGAAATAAGGGTTATTATATGTGTAAATTAGAAAAATGATGGTATCACCACTTTTACAAATGTAGTTTTTAGGTTTAATTAATATCTACCTTCGGCAGGTTGGGTTTCTTTCCTAATGAAATAGTACGACTATTACTAATTGCTTATAAATATTAACGATGGTCAGCTTGAATTTCTTTTTTTTTTTTTTTTTTTTGAAAAAAAGAAAAAAAGAAATTTACTTCTTTTAAACAACAAATATTTGCCGTAATATTTTTTCAATCGAATTTCATAAAACAACTCATCTTATAACACATTTATTAGCCTAATCTTGATGACGGATTTTTTTTTTTAAGAAATCCGTCGATACTAAATTTGTGCAAAACTTAATTTCTTTGGCGTTTAAATACAGGTTTTGGAGTTACTTTCGCATTTGTGTACCATGTAATACCGTTAATAATACCAAGATTTTAAAGCAGGGTAATTCTATTTGATGAATATTACCTATAATTGTAACCCAAGAGTTATTAGTTAAAATGTTTCAAATAATGAGCAAACGCTTAATCACGTGATTAAGTGTGAAATGATAATGAAGTAGACTTTGACAACACTTACCTCGAAAAATTCTCTACCATTCGGTAAAACGAAGGTTCTTCCGCTTACCTCACCCAAAGATTTCGCCGAAATGTTGATCTAAAATGAATATTATTTATCCGTTTCCTTTTATTAGTGATGTTCTGATGCAAAATTATTATTTGTCATTCCTAGAATTAGTAGATCTAATAATTACTTTCAAGTTCCAATTTCACAATAATCGTTTATCATTTCGCTCGCTCTTTAATTTGGAAACAATTACCATTACTATAATAAATTAATTCATGATATCCATCAGATAATCGGATATAAAAAGAAATAAATAATTTATTTATTTAAATATGTTGAACAAAGCTAGCCGAAATTGATGTGGTTATTATTATTTAAATTGGATCAATCGTATTGGATTTGATACAAACAAAAAAAAATTTATGTTCTCAAAATACTTGATGTTGATTTGGTATTTTTCAATAAGAATAATAAATTATATATATTAATTAATTAATTCTAATCAAATCCTTACATATTATTTTAAAAAAAAAAAAAAAAAAAATTTATGGAATTCACGGATCCCGAGGATAGGATTCGCCCAATGCTTCGGTTTCGGTTCGTATTGGATTCCGGATTCGGATCCTATACTTCGGTTTAGGATCGATTCGGATTCGGATCTGGATCCATCTGAAATATTTGGTAAAAGAATCATTTTTCGGATTCTTTGAGACCCGAAGATACGGTTTTCTAAATTTTCGGCTTTTTTTTTTTTGATAAAAAGTAAAATTTTCGGTATCTTTTAGAACCGAAAATTGGGTTTTCTTTATTAATAATAACCAATATGATCGAAATCTTTTTAACATCGAATGTTTCTTTTTCAATAAAAAAACAAAATTTTTTTCAAAACGCTTTTAGAACCGATAAACGATTTTTCTTTTCCGTAAAAAGAGACACTTTCTTTAGAACAGAAAAACGGTTTCTCTTTTATAGGTAAATATTTTCGGATCTCTTTTACACATTTTTTTTCACTCATAAGTATATGTGGATGGCTTATCCGAATCCTTATGAATGTTCTCGGATATTATCGGCTGTCCTATGACTTTTGAAATTAGCTGTAATGAAAGAACCATTTTTTGAATCTTTTAGAACCGAATGTTTCTTTTCGATAAAGAAATGCTCTCGGTTGTTTTAAAAACATTCCTCTTCAATGAAGAAATACATTTTCGGATTGTATTTTTCGGATCAGTTTTCATTAGTATACTTCAATATTTATAATATTAAACTATATATTATTAATTTCTGATAAGGTAATATAAATTAATTAATTTATATAATACAAGATTATAGTCCGGAGCTAAGCGAAGGATAATTTACTGTACGGTCATACACCGATTTTGTGCTTCCTTCCACCTACGTCATCATATTAATTTCCTTTTTCGAATTTTTTTTTCTTTGTTCTATATACCTACCATATATATTTTATTGAAATAGCACCTGATGGTTACATTTGCATCACTGATCGATAAAAAAAGATTATCAAAAAAATTATTTTCTAATAGAATAAATAATATTAATTAGAATCTTCATGTTTATTACATTATAGCGACGGACTTTAACGGTTTCCGTTTTCCTAGTTATTACTTACAATTGTCGATCAGCGTGCTAATATTTCAAAATTCCGAAATAAATTTAATATTGCAATAATAATCGTAATAGTCCCTGGCAACAGTAATAGCGGACAGTTTAAGATTTATTATTTTATAAGTAATTAATACATCTATGCTTAATGCATGCTTCAACCAAGCTTATATGCTATTGATAGTGTTAATCTTCAATTAAATTTAAAAAAAACATCATGAGTAATTTCAATAGAATTAAGGTCTGTACTTTAAGAAGGCTAAAAGAAACAAGTTGTAAAATTTAATTTCGAATTTCTTTGAGGAATATTTTATGTACTAAAAATCTAGTAATAACCAAATAATTCATTTATATTATCTTATAGATAATTATCAAAATTTGTCAATACATCATATTTAGGATAAATTTTACTGCCTTTAGTACTTTCTCATTTATTTCTTAATTTAGTAACAATTGCATCATTTTAATCAGCCTTTCTAGTAATAATACTCCTATAGCTTGCATAATTTCATGATTTTACTGAAGAATCCTATTCAAATTCTAGCGATTTGCAAAATATAGAATTAGCAAAAAGGAATAATACAAAAGATAAAATAGAGATAAAGTTGGCTTACTATAAAAAAACTTTGATTTTGCCTTGGAATTATATCAAAGAGAAAATAACAATTCTCATTTTGTTAAAAGCTTTGATACTCTTATAAAACCAGTTGTTAAATCTGTAGAAGAATGTGAAAAGAAGCTAAACACTCATACATAACAAAGTACATTGGATCAAAAAATGGAAAACTTGCTTTCTGGTTGCGTTAAAAGGTTATTAAAAAAGTGTCATTTATTATATTTTCACTCAATATAAAATATTAATAAAAGAATATAAAAAATTATAGTCGATCACTTCATATGCGCGCATTTTTAAATCACATTCAAATTAAAACTGATACCATTCAGATAACCAAAAAAATTTTCAACTCAAATTCGAAAAAAAAATAATAAATACCATTTCAAACCCATCAACTATTTTTAAAACTCATCAAACTTGAAAGTTACAGCAACATGATAATTTCGCTAATATAGTAGTAGTTATTAAATTAAATGTTTTTTGACAGATACTTAGGTATAAAATATTGCTATAAAGCTGTATTTGTTTTCTGAATATTTACAAAATAATTTTGAAGTTATTGACAAAATTTTTCATAAAAATAGTATAATATGGCTTGTCTCTTATTCAGTGTTGGTCTTTTGGACTATTGGACTTTTGGACCATTGGACTGCTGGACTAATGGACTTAGTCCATTCCAATTCCATTAAAATTTGGACTATTGGACTATAGACTTCGTCCAACAACTATAAATTTTTAGCGATATGTAAATCATTTTTATTGATATTTGTTATAATTTTATTAAATTTACTAATTATTACTTAATATAAAATTTGACAAATAATTAGGTTTCCCTAAACTCGCAATATAAATATCTAGATGTTTCCATTTAAAATTTTGACCTCTACTCTAGCAGGATGAGGTAAATTTGAAATGTTTGTAATATTAATCTTAAACTTTTTGTCACCTGAATAATTAAGATCAATAGAATCGTTCTGGTTGAACGATTTTATTATCGTACAATTAGAATGATTTTATTATCGATCATTCAAATTGAACGATTTTATTAAATTTTTAAGTTAGGCTAACATTATAAATTTGGCCAGAATTATAGTATATAAAATTATGATTTGGCCAATATTATATAATTATAGTCCATTTGAATTGGAATTGGACTGGACATCTCCATTAGGTCCAAAGTCCAATAGTCCATTATTGGGAATTGGACAAGGTCCAATTCCAACACTTAAAAATATCGTGATCATCATGTGATTCCAAAAATGCGTGGATATGTATCATAGTCACGCGTGATGTCACTATAACTAGAGAGGCTATTTAAAAGTCTCGTGTTTCATTTTTTCATTTTCATTATTTATTATTCTTACTTGCTTTCAACATGTTATTAGAACCACATGTCGAAGAAGCCTTCAGTAACTATAGATTCAAGCACATAAATCACCAAAATTTTAGCTTCTTCAGAAGTACGGATGCGCAACGTTGGTCGTTTTATTCTTATTATATTTCTATAATATACTCTAGTAAACCGCCGATAACCTTTGGCGAGTGCATTAGCAGGTGGACAGCAAGCCTTAGGGGTATAAAAAAACATCGCTCTACCCCGAAAACGATTGTAAATTTCGTGGAAATGCTGTTAGAATTTAACAAGGTGATTATGTTTTACTTGCATACGATTATCTTACATTACTAACTTCATTCAGTCCAAGGAATTTAGCATCCTGCGAAAAGCTTGTGAGCAACGGTTCGGAGCTCATCTTATGGCGTCCATTTCGAGTGCCACAGTGGCGTTGAGTGAGTTTGTCCAAGGCAACAACAGACAGGCAGCTGAAATAGCGGCCAGTCTAAGACAGGAGGAAAACAACGAAGAAGAAAGAATGCCACCACTCGAAGTTGATTATACTATAAGTTCAGATCTTTCATCCAAAGATGATTATACTACGGATTTGGATTCTTTATCACCCGAAGACGAGTATATTACAGACTTGGATTCTCCATCGCCTGAAGACGATTATATTACAGAGTCGGATTCTGGAAAATCTTCCCAGGTGTTGACGGCAATGAAAAAAGAGATAGAGTTCATATACCGAAAAATGGAAACCCAATCAAAATGGCGCTTATCTACAGGCAAATATGTCGAAGATTCGTTATTTGATTTTGGAATGGTCGCGAACTATGAACAGTAAGTAGCTCAACTGCTTGTTTAACCTTGTGTTGTCATTATTTTCATCATTTTAATATTGAGTTTTACAAGTCTCGCTCACTCGTTCATTATCGACCCGGACGATGAAACGTACAATTCAATATTTACCGAAAAGGAGCTCGATGAAATTCGGTCTTACAACAGTAAAGAATTTCCTGAAGTACCAGATGGTCTTATCGAGTATCTATTGAAATATGACAAAGTAAGAGTATAAACACTTAATGCACGCTTCTTTATACACATATTAATATTATAATTCAAGGATTCGTTAGAGGAGCTGAGGGAAGTCCTAGCGGAAAAAGAATCCTGGGAAGGAAAATACTATGACAAAAGCATCCATTTTGACTTTGAATGGATAAAAAGATCAATGCATAATCTGTGAGTAATAATAATAATACAGGGATAATTTTGAGCTTACATTAACACTTTTTCCTATACAATTGATCAACTAAAGAATAAACGAATATGATAACGACAATTTAAAATCTGGTCGACACGAGAATTGGTATCTCGTTCATTTCTGGAGTTTAATTGACAATTCACTGTCGGATTTGAATAATGTTTATATTGCTCGTGGTGAAGTATGTAGTAACGCAAGCGCTAATAGAAAGAACCGTCACCGAATGTCACAAGGAATCACTCGCTTGAAAAGAAAAGAACTTGGACGCAGAAATGACCTAATTATTAGGAAAAATAAGCGAGAATATGGATGCTCAGAGGCCGGAAGATGCTTTAAAGGAGAAAACGACACAAAAATTTTAAAGGAAAGGGGCCTTAAGTGTCCTAAAGTTATGAAAGACATGTTTGTCGATCTTGCTAATACAGCCGAATGGAATACCGAAATAGTAAGACAAATAGAAGTAGTTGGCTGGATCCATGCCGGTTTGTATCTATATTATTTATATTTATACTTCAATTCATACTAACAATATCCTGTTCCTGTTTTTCCTCCAGAACTAATGATGATGCTAATGCGACTTGATAATCCAAGCGGCTATATATGTCGCATTACAAGAACACCATTACATCAAATAGCTGAAGAAGTTAGCAGGTTCGGGGAGAACTTGGAACTTTTCACTCTGATATTGAAATCCAAAGCCATAATTAAGAAAACTATTTTATTAGTTGAAAGTAAAAAGACAAAAACGAAAAGTGAACGAAAAAGAAAAGTTCAGGAAGTGGGCAAAGGATCATCTGCAGTCATAACACGAATTTATGATTGTTGCGAAACACCTAAATGGAAAAAAAAGAAAAATTGATTGTAATATAGTAATTTCATTCTTTTTCATTCGTGGCCATACCACTCTCTTCAATTAATCTTAATATCGCTTGCTTCTTCTGCTTTCGAATTTTCTTCAAAGATATATTTTAGTCAATTAGTTTGGTAGGTCTCGAATAAAAATGAATCGGATATTTATTATAATATACTTATTACAATTTGCTATAAATCAATAAAATCATTATAAACTGCTTATATACACTTGCAAAGTAGTCAGACTTTCCTATCAAATTAAATTGGGTATTATTTCAGAAAATGGTGTTACATTTAGTAAAAAAAAAATTTTTTGCTTATCATTTGATTCTTTGGAATGTTAAATAATTGCTTGTAAAAATAATCCAAAATAATTCTGGTTTTAAAAGAGTTTACTTAGAGGTGACATACTATAATAACGAAACTTAAAGGTCTTTATATTATTATAAAACTTGTTTTAAACTTCTAATAATCCAAAAGAAGTTTTAAAATTTGTAAAAAAATGAAGATCATGTAGTACAACTAAAATGATCTGCATGAAGTTGGTATAGCATGGAAATCATTAAAATTGGGCTGATAAATGATCAACCAAAATGTTACACAAATCCTAAACAAAATAATCAATGAAGAAAAGTAAAATTATTAGCCGATGGAATTGGCATCCCTAGCTCAAGCCATAAGGTACGAGTTCCTATTGCAGTTATATTGCAATAAATCCTAGTTCAACATTAGCTAAATGTAGGTCAAAGTATTAATTTACAGTGGGATTTACCAGTTCGATTCTGAAAATAAATTTCATAAAATGCACATAAACTATATGTATTAAAGATCACAAACTTGTAGAATATAGTGAACCTGTGTGACTGCGCAAGTGATCATGTATATATAGAACTTATTGAGTTTGAAACTTATGTTAGAAGGCTGGCCTGTAATAGGCAAATGTCATGTTATCTACAAGAGGATCATACCTGATAACAGGTCATAACAGATCAATGATAGATGCTGTGTAATTTAAATTGAATAAGAGTTGTGAATTACAGGTAGTTTCTAGTTAAAATGTTATAATATCTATAGTACCAATTAGGATTTGAGAGATTCAATTTTAATTCTTAAGATGATTTTGATAGTTTAGGCGTAATAACTGTGTTGAGTAGCTTTTCTAAATTAAGTTATTAAAGATTTCTCTTTCAAGTAATTGGCCTGAATTTTATTATACTATGATAACATTAAGGGTTAGTCATAGTACGCTTATTTTATATAACTTATCATGATAACTAGTAAGGTAGCAGTTTAGACTAGTTTGAAATATAACAAAGGGAACTTAGTTCCGAATACAATATATAGGTATTAGACATTTTTATCAGGATACTCGGGTAACTAATCACTAGAACATTAAAAAAATCATTAGTCAACCAAAACAGAAAACTCTTTCTTTTTACCTATTTTTTCATAAAAAATTTTAAAAAATAAAAGTCTTACCTTATTTTTCATTTATATTTTACAAACTCTATTAGTTAGTTTTATAGTATTTATATCCTATTAATACAGTTTTAATACTTATAAGAGTTTTTTTAACTTAAAAGTTTACTTTTATTAAATATAGTCTGAAAAAATTAAGTAAATCAAGCTATCAGAAAAATACTCATCGGTTTGACCTGATTGCTAACTAATAACAAAGCTATAACCAGTCACCTCTATTTTTAACATTAGTGAATAACTGAACCTATCCTTAAATTTAAACACTAAACTTATAAAGACTTTATTTAAGCTTCTTTCCTTTAACATATTAGACAAAGATAAATATGTTCCTATCAAAAATGATGATACTATAAAAACAGATAACAGAATATTCACTATTATTACTAAACTAATACTATTTATATGTACCATAACTATTAACAAAATTGCAAAAGAACTTCTGACTTCAACTCTCTTAATGCCTACTTTATCTTAGATAATATATTTAGAGAAGGTCAACATTTATCACGTTAATTTGGTTAGATGTATTATGATTTACTTTGATAATCTAATTTAGCTAAATCTACTCTTACTGCTATATTTCTTGATTTAGGTATCTAATATCTAGAAGATTATATGATCTACAAGGAGAATATGCAATTCTAACAAAGAACTTTATATGTTACAGATATTTATTTTAGCATCAAACAAAATACTATTACAACTTTTTTTACCAAATATGAAAAAATTATTAATGTCTAAATACATACTAGAAGACTTTGACAGTATGCCTTTATCACATATGAAGATTCTAAAAATATTGATTTATTTCATACTAAATGGTTATATTATATTTTCAATAACTGTATTCAAGTTTATTTAGCTAACCTCACTCCTAAATAGAAGAAATAATGAATTTAAGATCAGATTAACTAATTTACCCTTTAACATTTCTGCATATGACTTGAATAATATTGTTTTTATCACTAAAGCTAAAACTATTCACATATCTTATTTTAACAATTATAAGCCCTGTCCATTCGCTGTCTGCTAAGATCTCAATAATGCTACTAAGAAGTATTTTCACTTTTGATGATTAGAAATTATAATAGTATTTAACAGACATTAAATTTTATCACAAATATAACTCATCAGAATACATTGTCATCAAATGTTTTCTTATTATTCCTTTAATTAAAGATTTAACTAAAATCTCACCTAAAAATTCTATTTACAAGTTACCTTCTATACTATACCTATATACCAAATTTAAACTAGTAGAATCTCATTTCTTGATTATAAAAAGTTCTACTAAAGTTAAAAATGATTACCTTCTTATTATTTTACCAAAAAATCTCAATCTACAAAATTTTAAAGGAAAAGCTAAAGACGTCAGTCTTTCTGGCTCATTCATTGATGACTTAATCTATAATCTAAAGAATAATAATAATACTAATGAGAAATTAGATTGTATTTTATCTATATTATTAGGCATACAAAAAATTATGACTGATCAAGAGTAATATATTGCCAAAGTTGAAAAGATCCAAGTCTCTATTCAAACTCCAATTATTCCACTACCTAAAAAAATTGTTTTTAGTACTTTTCTATCTTTAGTTACTTTAAGTTTCACTCAAAATAAGCATATTATATTTGCTATCTCTTTATCATATAAGAATAAATCTAGAAATCCTAAACCTTTAGATTCCAATACTCAAGCTCTCATTAAAGAATAATCTTTAGTTATCACTAAACAATAAAAATAACTTCAAATTATTAATACTCAAATGCAAGAAATAATAACATAATTACAAAAGTTATCTGATTTCTCTTTCAAATAATAATATATCAGATAAAAAAAATAATTTATAAACATCTTAATAAAAATTTAAATAATTAAAAAGGAATACTCATTATTTCATTTGCTATATATAACATTAATTCACTTACATATACAATTAAAAACTAATTTATTAATAATACCCAATAAAAAATTTGATATAAAATTCTATAAAAATATTAAGTTTTATAACGTATAACTTTTATGGAAAATCAGTATAATATATACGTTTTTTCCTTAGGTAAAA